CCATCGACGCGCCCCGGGAACGGGGCCGGACTGCGCTCAGCGCTGGCTCCCTGCCTCAGTACTGCCTGCTGATAAGACACATTCAGCCCAAAACTACAGTGAGGAAAATAGGCATTACTATATTAATTAGATTAATAGTTCTGTGGAGCAGCAGGGGGAGCAGGGGCAGGCAGCACCTCTGCTCTCTCCCGGGCCGGGGAGGTTCCCTGCACCTTCGCCCGGGGAGGACGCTCACAGCATCCGGGGTGGCAAAATCCAGGCACCGCCCGGGCATCTCCCACGCCTTACGTGATGCAAAGGTAATGGAAAAATCAGAAACACCGAGAGGGGGGTTGGGTTTTTCCCCCTCATTTTCTTTTTTTTTTTTTTTTTTTTTTTATTTTAAGATCAGACCATTTCATTTCATTTATTAGGAAAATTATTAGGAAAACTGTTTGCTAACAGTGAGTTAAAAAAGAGAGCGAGCCAGAAAATCAGGATCCATTACTTAAAGCCAACCTGACATTTCAAAGGTTGCAATCAAAAACTGACTGGTATTTCTGGGCTTTATGTCTCATCTAAAATGCTAAACAGAAAGATATCACCGTATAAATATTTCTATTTATAAAGCAACATTGTGAATTTTTTATTGTAGATTAATTTTTTCCCTTTTTATTTTCGGTTCTCGTTATAAATATTAACAAATCTGACAAAAAGTACACAGATAGGTAATACTGAAATACAAAAATCTTTTAGGATGCAGGTAAGGACAGTTTCTGCAGCCTTCACATGGTAGCAAAACATCGGTATCAAACATTTCACGAGGCCTGGCATGACGACCACCACTCTGCATGCAGCTGGGACAGACGGACGGCTTTTCGGTTCTCGTTATAAATATTAACAAATCTGACAAAAAGTACACAGATAGGTAATACTGAAATACAAAAATCTTTTAGGATGCAGGTAAGGACAGTTTCTGCAGCCTTCACATGGTAGCAAAACATCGGTATCAAACATTTCACGAGGCCTGGCATGACGACCACCACTCTGCATGCAGCTGGGACAGACGGACGGCCCGCCCGCTTAGAAAAGACTGGGATACAAAGTGAGGGGACACACGCGCACACACACACACACACATCGTGTCCTACTCCCCCTCAGGCATAAACCAGTTTCATGGCAAGATGTGCTGAAACGAGTGATGGATTGAGAGTAACTCTGCAAGAAAAGGGAGGCACAGCCGACCCGGCGCTCCCGTAGCTCTTCTGGAAGCTCAGACCTAAAGCAGGTTTTAAGGTGCTGGACCAGTGACAGAGAGAGAGAGGATTACCGGGAACATCCTACTTGATGCGCTGCTGGCATTCAAATAAAAATCCATGCATATCGGTAGACTGCATTACAAATATTGTTATTAGAAAAGCCACTCCCCCCCCTCAAACAAGGCGTAACACGATCGTCACTTTGAAAAGTAAACGTAGGTTTCCAGCGAGCCGATTCCTGTCCAAAAGAAGTCGGCAACGCACGCACGTGCTCGCAGACGCAGCTACAGGGCTCCGAAGCTGTAGGTAGTAGAGACTGAAGGGGAAACAGCAGCTCTTCTGAAGAAATCACCGGTTAAAGGCTTCGAAAGGTTCTGGCAAGGTGCAGCATTTCGCAGAAAGTTTTGGCTCATCCCACCGGGTGCACGGACTTCGTCGCGACTGCACAAGAGCCGGCGCCCGGTGGGATGAGGATGCAGAGCCTGACCAGGGTGGGCCAGGGAGGATGAGGGCTGGGATGATGATTACTGTGATATTGTCCTATCATTGCTGTGCCGTACACAGAAATTTGGTTTGGAGGCTGTTAGAGGCAGAAAACGGAGCGACCCGGCGGCCGTGCCAGAGCTGAGCGTCTCTGCGGACATGACGCCGGCTCAGCAGCTCCGCTCGCTGCTCACAGCGTAAAGCGCCTCGGTTGGATTTTTAGGTAATGGCATGGATTAGAAAAGGATGAATAGGGGAAAAGCGATAGAAAAATTTAGCCTGAAAGTCAACTTTGCTGAAAAAAACCAGCCACGCTGAAGCCTGGCTGCATGGGAAGGCATGGTTTCATTAGGAGAGCGGCTGGTGCGAGGGCAGCGGGAGACTTTGCT